ATCCATTTGCCTGCAAATTTCAAGATTCCATTGCCTTTTTTTCCTCTGAGAAGTACTCCATTGTGTAAATGTACCACATTTTCTCTATCCATTCTTCAGTTGAGGGGCATCTAGGTTGCTTCCAGGTTCTGGCTATTACAAATAATGCTGCGATGAACATCGTTGAAAAGATGTCTTTGTTGTAGGAATGTGCTTCTTTTGGGTATATGCCTAAGAGTGGAATTGCTGGATCTTGTGGTAGACTGATTCCCATTTTCCTGAGGAATCCCAATATACTCTCCAGCATAAACTGCCATTGGTATTTTTGATGTTAGCCATTCTGACAGGAGTAAGATGGTATCTCAGAGTTGTTTTGCTTTGCATTTTCCTGATGGCTAAGGATATTGAACACTTTCTTATGTGTCTTTCAGCTGTTTTAGATTCCTCTATTGAGAATTGTCTATTTAGTTCTGTACATCACTTTTTAATTGAATTATTTGGTGTTTTGGAGACTAGCTTCTTGAGTTCTTTGTAAATTTTGGAGATCAGCTCTCTGTCAGATGTGGGGTTGGTGAAGATCTTTTCCCAATTCGTGGGCTGTCATTTTGTCTTGTTGACTGTGTCCTTTGCTTTACAGAAGCTTCTCAGTTTCAGGAGGTCCCATTTATTAATTGTTGATCTCAGTGTCTGTGCTACTGGTGTTATGTTCAGGAAGCTGTCTCCTGTACCAATTTGTTCAATGGTATTTCCTACTTTGTCTTCTAATAAGTTCAGTGTGGCTGGATTTATGTTGAGGTCTTTGATCCATTTGGACTTAAGTTTTGTGCTTGGTGATAGCCATGGATCTATCTGTAGTCTTCTACATGCCAGCATCCAGTTATGCCAGCACCATTTGTTGAAGATACTTTCTTTATTCTAAAGAATGCCAGGAGGGGATTGCCTGACCCAACTCAGCTTTCCTGGAGGGTTTTCAAATTTTACCCTAGAGAAGGCCAAACAGAGGAAAGCCATCTCTGCCTTCTTCAATGCAATTTGCTTACTCATGACTCCCGCTGTTCCTCTGAGAATGACTAGTCAGCAATCTTTCAAAGTTTTAGCAATAAGGCCAGAGGAGGCTGCCTGAGATGATCAGATTTAAATTAGCAATATGGAAAGAAGTCACATTACTGCATTCGCTAGACATTTGCTCAAGTAGGGGGTTTCCCATTTTAAAAAGTACTTACCCAGATAAAGGAAAAAAAGAACTAAAAATATTAAGATATTGGAGCTGGAAGATAACCTTGGTATCTTCTAGGCAAATACATTTGATAGGAAAAGGTATAGCAACTCCTAGGCCATGTCTCCCATGACCACCCACTTAGCTCTTGAAGCATCAGGTCACTGTTCAGGGGATGACATAAACAACACACTTCCATCTGCCTGTCATCTTGTGAGAAATCCCTGCCTTCACCACTAAACCATTATTTTCCTGCCCCAGGAACCTTGCCTGGTTTTGCTTGTTACTTGCTAGCATAGTATCAGGCACATAGCCAGTGTATAATGAATACCTGCTGGGTGAGTATCGGCCAACATAGTCAACTATCAATAAATTGTAAGTAACACAGAGTCAACACCATATGAATAATCAATAAACGAATAATTGTCAATGTATTGCTCACATGTTTTATGGACAGGCTTAAGTTACTCGGGAAGCATGTTAGATTACACAGTGTTGCAGTTCTAAGGGGAAAGGCATCCTGGCAGTCAGGAACTAAGAAATGCCACAAAGTCATACTGCACAACAAATCTCACACAGAAATTCCTTGGGAAAGACACAAGAGACTGGCTGCCTCTGCTGGGGAGAGATGCAGCAGGGAACCAAGTTGGAGGCAGACTTATATAGGACTTCTTGGGGAAGGAGTTTTCGAGGGCTGAGATTTCCATGATGGGGATTGGTGAGATTTCAAGTCCTGAGTTTGAGGTAAGCCCATGGATCAGTGGGACTTTGGGCTCAGGAATTGGTGGGATTTTAAGCTTAGGAATTGATGGGATTTTTGAGTGCAGGGATTGGTGGGATTTTAAGCTCAGGGATTGGTGGGTTTGGGTGTGTTTTCAAATCTGGAAGTGAGCTTGGACCTTTTACCCTACATCTACTACATACAATACATAAACATTTCTAAATAGCAGTGACTGCATTAGTCACTGTTAGTGTCGCTATGACAAAATAACTGGTAGAAACAACTTAAGAGATGAGGGATTTACTTAGGGTAATGCTATAGGAGTCAGTGGCTGCTTTGGCTCATGAATGTGGGCAGAAGCATGACAGTGAAGAATGTGAAAGAAAGGGTTTGTCACCTCATGAAAGACAGCAAGGAGAGAGAGAGAGAGAAAGTGAGGCCAGGCTAATAGCATTCAAAGACATACCCCAGAAATCTACTTCTTCCAACTAAGGGTCTGCTTCCGCAAGTTTCTACAACCTTCTTTGAATAATCCCGTCATCTGGTAGTCCAATTCTCCAACACATGAGCCTACAGAGGGACATTGGATGTTCAAACCATAATGTTCTAACCCCCGCAAAGGCTCATAGCCAACTCATAATGCAAAATACATTTGACCTGTCTCTAAAAGTCTCCCAGAGTTTAATGGTTCCCACATTATTTACAGTATAAGCTCAGAGTCTATGTAGCTCAAGCTGTGAGACCATCTAAAGTAAAGAAAATTGCATACTTCCAAATCCCAAAGGCCCAGAGTAAACATTCCCATTGAGAAGGGGGAAATGGGACACAGAAAGGAAAAATAGGACCAAATCAGGAGTGAAACCCAGCAGCACACACAAATCCTATAGCTCCATGGCCCATATCTAACACATGGTAGTACCATGTGAGTGCCAACAGGCTTGGGCAACTCTGTCCTCAAGACCTTACCATTCACAGTCTACTTGGCCTTCCTCTCACTTGGGTTGACTCCACTCATCACTCAAATTTTGCTGAGCAAATGTTCCGCGTTCCTAGCTCCCCATCATTCTGGGACCTTCATTATACTCTGAACTTCACCTTCACAGATTCATGCAGTGCTCTCTTGGGAACTTTCTTTAGAGATCTTGCCTCTGTCACACACGGCCTGGCCTCTTCTGATATGCATAATTGAGCAGGAATATAATCTAAAGTCTTAAGATAGTGAAAGAGACAAACAATGCAATAAAGGTTGAGATGCCAAGCTTTACCTTATACTCACTCACTCACTCACTCACTCACTCCACTCTCACTCACTCACTCACTGTCTTCCAGGCATGACAGACCCACTGCCATTTTGACATCAGAGTAACCGATTATCCATGCTTTGTGTAGAAGTTTCTTCAGATATTCATTCTACCTTGTAGGAAAAACTCCTTAAGAGGGAAGATAAACAACTCAATAGCCTTCAGGAAGTCCCTGGGAACTGACCACATTCACCAGGCCAGAGTAAGCACAGCTAAACTGTAAAGGAGACTCTGAGACCAGTCCAGCTATGTGGAAGGAGCAGAAACCAGCCAAGCTGTGTGGAAGAGGTTCAGCCCAACTGAATCACTTAGAAAGGACACTCTTGATGGGCGGTGGGGGCACACACCTTTAATCCCAGCACTCAGGAGGCAGAGGCAGGTGGATCTCTGTAAGTTCAAGGCCAGCCTAGTCTACAGAGTGAGTGCCAGGATAGGTTTCAAAGCTACATAGAGAAACCTTGTCTCAAAAAAACAAAAAAAGAATAGGAAGGAAGGAAGGGAGAGAGAGAGAAAGAAAGGACACTCTCCAACCTGTTAAGCTGCCAGGTTCTACCATGTTGGGGTTGGCTTTGGTGATGCAACTGCCTTTGAGTCATTTCTGCCCCCGTGAATAACCCCTCACCATATTTCTTGGTGGTATCTGTACTTTGGTCTGTTATAGGCTCCCTATGTGGAATGAGTAGGTGTATATGTTTTGTCTTCCAAGAAAAAGTCTTATCATGCAACACCATGTGAGATTCTCACAAGACTAAGCTACTGACACGTCCCCATGGAATGACTGAGGGCAGGCAGGTCATGAAACACCCATAAAAGAAGCACATATAAACAGTAAACAACTACTGGGAACAGGTGTGTGTGTGTGTGTGTGTGTGTGTGTGTGAGAGAGAGAGAGAGAGAGAGAGAGAGAGAGAGAGAGAGAGATGGAGCTGTTTATGAAGCCACCATGTTCCTACAAGCAACCCCTCACCCACATTCCTGTCCGTAAGCCCATTAAGCTTTTTGACTCACCGAGCTGAACTTGTGCAATGTCTGCTCTGGTGTGCTGTCAGTGCTGGATGTGGGTGAGTCAAAATTTGTCCAAACCTCCCCAGGGAAACTTGTGGCAATGCATTATGAAAATATGTCTTACTTTCTTTTTGTGTGTGTGTGGGGGGTGTTTATTTGTTTTTTTGAGACAGCATCTCTTTGTGTAACAGCCTTGGCTGTCCTGGAACTCTCTTTGTAGACTCAGCTGGCCTCAGACTCACAGAGAACCATCTGCCTCTGCCTCCCAAGTGTAGGGTTAAAGATATGTGCCACCACCTCCAAGCTCTCTTACAGCCAGAGTTAATAATATACATCAAGGTCACTTGAGACTGCTATCCTCAAAGGGTGGTGGAACAACTCTTTAATCCCAGAACTGGGGAGGCAGAGGCAGGTGGATCTCTGAGTTCCAGACCAACCTGGTCTTCAAAGCAAGTTGTGTGACAGCCAGAGCTACACAGAGAAACCCTGTCTTGGGAAAAAAAAAGATTTCTATCCTGCTATGTATTCATCCTGTCTATTTAACTGGCCTTTAACAGTAAAATGTAACAATCAGATTTATGCCAATTTTTATGTCTGAAGCTAAAGCATAGCTATGATCTTAAGATATATAATGTCTTAGGGTTTCTATTGCTCTAAAGGGATACTATGACCATGACAACATTTAATAAGAATACCATTTAATTGGGGCTGGTTTACAGGTTCACAGGTTTAGTCCATTATTGTCATGGTGGGAAACATGGAGGCATGGTGCTGGAGAAGGAGAGGAGAGTTGTTTTTTTTTTTTTTTTCCAGAAGTACATTCTTTTTATTTCTTTAGATGTGCATATACACACACATACAAGAACTTTTACATTTCCTAAGATGACTCTCCATTTCTTCTACTTGTATTAAACTAAAGTTCATAAAGAAATACTGAAGGACTGTTTCAAAAAATCTTATCTTCAGTAACCTCAGCAATGAGGGTGAGAGGTAGCTCTCCCCTCCCCATGAGACCTTTATATTTATGCTTCTTGCCCACCAATGATCTGCTTCACAGCCTCCTGGTGAACTCACATCATTAGCTCAATATCATCTTGTCCAACAAATGTTATTCGTTCTTCTCTGCTTGTCCTGTATCGCCGGAAAAGGATGTAGGCAATTGCTGCACTTGCTGGGATTCCAAGTACCAGGGCTATTTTTTGAATAATTGACAGGTTGTCCATGAAGAGTCCATTTTCTGGGGTATTCTCTTGTCAGGAGTCAAGCACCTTCGCCTTGCACCTTATTGTCCCCTCTGCCTGGTTGCTACCAGGGCCCAGCAGCCAAGAAGGCAGCTATTTTGCAGATGCTTGCCATGCCCCGGAGGCACATCCACACCAATCAATGCCTGTCTTGAAGTCTGACAATCGTGCACCCACGCAGCAGCCAATCCTTGCACCTGCAGCCATGAGCGATGGATCAGGAGTTTCTAATGCCAGACTTGACTGTAGACCACAAGGAGCCTGTCTGACCTACAGATAAACCCTGGCGATCAACAGGAACGCCAGTCTTCAACAGATGAATGCTGCTGTTTTTTTCAGGAGAGGAGAGTTTTACATCTAGATCCCAGGCAGCAGGAGGAGAGAGTGAGTCATTGGGCTTGGATTGAGCTTCTGAAACCTCAAAACCTACCCAGAGTGACACACTTCTTCCAACAAAGCCATACCTCCTAACAGCGCCACTCCCTATGAACCTATGGGGGCCATTTTTATTCAGATCATCACATGTACCTTTCATGCCCTGACCCAGAGTAATGCATATGTTTGTATGTGCATTATGATAATATTGTCCATGCCTTCCATGCCCCAATTTAGAGTAATACAAGTGTGTTTGTACATAGGTTATGATAAGATTTTCTAAAACCAGAAAATAGGACAAAAGTGGCCTTATAAATGAATATCAACCATAAATGTTGGACACAACATACACATATTGCTTGATAAACAATGATTTTTGTAGTACTGTTTGTTATCTGGGTCAGCACAAAATTCTGTTAAGGAGTTCTATAACATATCCTCCGTTCCTTCACCATGTGGCACTTTCTGTGATGTTCAATCAAGACAGTGAAGCCCTTTGTTAGGGACAGACATAGAGATACACATATACAGACAGACAGACACATACACAGACAGGTACAGACAGATCCACAAGGCAGCCTTCAAGCAGGCATAGATTCACACAAGAGAGATGGGTGAAAGGAGACTGGCAAATTGAAGTAGAGACTGTTCACCAGAGAGGAAGGAAGTGAATGCAGTGGGGACCTCAACACCAGGATGGGGCTTTGATGGCAGGTCACTATATCCATGAGGTGAGAAAGGTAGAAGGGATTGTTGCTCAAGTTTGTGTCCTTCATTCAAGCAGTCATGTTTGGCTAATGGAGAGAGAGAGAGAGAGAGAGAGAGAGAGAGAGGGAGAGAAGAGAGAGAGAGAGAGACAGAGACAGAGACACAGAGAGAGAGACAGAGACACAGAGAGAGAGAGACAGACAGACAGACAGAGAGACAGATACAGAGACAGAGACAGAGAGAACAGCTGCAGCATCAGCCCAGAGCCTATGAGGCCCAGAGAACCAGAAAGGAGAATAGTTAAGAGCATGACCCTAATTTCCCTTGGCCTGGGATCAAGTGGCATGAGCCAACCCAATCCACTGTGTCCAGCGTAGTAGGGAGATGTAAAAGCCCCCATACAACATGCTAGCATGAGGAGGCCAATTAAGAAAACTATAAAGTTATATCCCTATCCATGCCAGTATACCCACATTACTCTCTAAATTAGTATTTATTTATAGCTTTGACTCACCTGGGACTCACAGAGATCCACCTGCTCTGCCTCTGTAGTTTGGCATTGAAGATGTGTGCCACCATGCCAGACTAATTTACATATTTTAACTGATATATAAAATATAAAGGTTGTACATATTAGTGGGGTAATATATGATGTTTCTATGCATCCATCTACCCAAACATTCTTCATTTCTTCACAGTGAAAACATTCAAACTGGTTTTTCTGGATTTTTTTTCTGGTTTTTCGAGACAGGGTTTTTCTGTGTAGCTTTGGAGCCTTTCCTGGCACTCACTCTGGAGACCAGGCTGGCCTTGAACTCACAGAGATCTGCTTGTCTCTGTCTCCCAGGTGCTGGGATTAAGTGCGTGCACCACCCGGAGGTAAAATGTTGAGATTAAAGGAGCTAGCCTATGAAAAGTGCTCAGAACAGGGAACACCCTGGAGATAACCAGCTGATGGTTTGGTCGTCTTCTTGGTTTGCCTGAGAGGGTGTCTTCTGTTCCGTTTAAATTTCCTTCCTTCCTTCCTTCCTTCCTTCCTTCCTTCCTTCCTTCCTTTCTTCCTTTCTTCCCTTCTTCCTTTCTTCCTTCCTCCCTCCCTCCCTTTCCCCCCCCTCCAAGGTCTCAATTGCTGACCTGGAGCTCACTATGTAGACCAGGCTCCAGGCTATTCTTGCATGTACAGACCTGAGAATAAAACCAAGCACACCCTGGCCTCCGCCTCTGCTGTTTAAAATTTGAAAGAGCCATAGATTGGGAGTCTTTTCAGTTTTAGGTATATGGGGAGAGTTGGTGGCCTTCCATCTTCCATATACCAGGTGAGTTTTGCCACTGGCTTTGAAGAGCAACTGCCAATCCCATGTCCCATAATGAGAAGATTCTAAATGATGTTGTTCCAATTTTCCCATTCACACCTCTGGAGACTCTCAAAGTCAATGGGCAGAAACCGGTTTGCATTTGCACATGTCAATAGATGACCCTCAGAAAAGGTGTGGTCCGAGTTGAATTTTGTTTTTCAGATTAAGGGGAGGGTAGAAGGAAGGGAAGGTCAGTTTGCAGTTGTAAAGGCATTGGATTTCCACAAAGGTGAGGCTTTTCCGGAGGCATTATTTAACCCATGTCCTATAACAAACAATGGCAACTGGAGAGATGGCTCAGTGATGAAGATCACTGGCTGCTCTTTAGCGGAGCTGGGTTCAATTTCTAGCACACATATGGTGGCTCACAACTTTCTGAAACGCCAGTTCCTGGAGATCCAATACCCTCTTCTGACATCTGTGGGCACCAGACACCCATGTGGGGCACAGACATACATGCAGGCAACATATCCATACAAATAAAAATACATACAGATACATAAATTATTGGCTTTTATTATTCGCATACTCCTTAGGAAAAGGGATGTAATAAACAGGGTAGAGCTGCATGAAAACAACTTGGGATTGGTCAACACTACTCTATTCACACTGGAGGTACATGGGTCAAATGTCACCTTTGAGACATAGCACTGGGCACACACGGAACAGAGAGGAGGCCAGAAGATGTGCCACCATGGCCCATTTTCCTCAGAGGTCCTCCCCACCGCAGAGGTGCTCCCCACTGCAGAGCTGCTCTCTGTCTCCTGGTCCAGAATGTCAGAGAAGCTGAATCTGCCAGGGTAGTGTTCTGTGTTTGGAGTCTTTCATTAACATGGCATTTTGAGGTTCCTCCCTGCTACTGACAGATGTTTCTGCTTCTCTTGAGTAAGAGTAGAATGGCTGGGTGAGGTGGCAGGGGCTTATTTAACTTTCTAAGAAATCAAGAAACTGGTGGGGGGCGGCTGGAGAGATGGCTCAGCAGTTAAGAGTTCTTCCAGAGGTCCTGAGTTCAATTCCCAGCAACCATGTGGTGGCTCACAACCACCTTGAATGAGATCTGGTGTCCTCTTCCGGCCTACAGGGATACATGCAGACAGAACACTGTATACATACTTCC